TGTGTGTGTGTGTGTGTGTGTGTGTGTGTGTGGGGGGGCACAGCCCATTTTCCTGGCAGACTAAACCCTTATGTTGCTTTAAGTTATGATCAGAGGAAACTATACCAAATGTGGTACTCCTAGTTCTTACCATTTAGGAGGTATTATTGAGCAAACAGACAAACTCTCTAAAATATACAGTAGATTAACAAGAAAGTGAAATGCTGATTTAGGTAATCAGAAGAAATAGAAACACTAGAAACTCACCCACTGCCTTATCATTAGGAAGCTCTTGTGACAAAGGAAATTCTTCCTCCATATCAAGAATGTCATAAGTTCGTCTATTTTCGTCTGTTCTTAGCAGATTTTCTTGAAAATAAAATGTATAATTTTAATCATTCTAAGCCAATGGCCTCCAACCTTTTTAACAAGATCACTTTTTCAATGTAAGTGCAATGTAAGAGCTACCTCAAGCCCAAATACCCATGCCCCACTTCCTTCCCGCCGCTTTTTTGAGGACCTGCTCCTGCTTCACCCCTTCTCTGAGGCCTCACCCTGCTCACTCAATTCCCTTTTCTCCCCCATCCTCACTCACTTTCACTGGGCTGGGATAAGAGGTTGGGGTGCAGGCTCTAGTCTTGGGCCAAGAGGTTTGGAGTGTGGGAGGAGCTCTGGACTTAGCCCAGAGTGGGGGACTGGGGTCCAGGAGGGGTTTCAGGATGCAAGCTCTGGAAGGACTTTGAGTGCAGAGGGACTCATGTCCGGGGCAGGAGGAAGTTCAAGGCTGGAACAGGGATTCAAGAAGCAGGCTCTGGCTGGGCACTGTTTAACTGAGATGGCTTCCAGGTAGTAGAGCAGAGAGGTTAAGGCAGGATTATTCCTGCACCACTCCTGAAAGCAGCTGGCAGCTCCATGGTGCCATGTGCTGCCCCTCATCTACAGGCACCAAGCCCAAAGCTTCTACTGGCCACAATTCCCCATTATTGATCAATGGGAGCTGCAGGAGTGGTGTCTGCAGGCAAGGACAGCCTGTGGAGACCCCTTGCTTCTCAGGAACTGGAGAGTCATGCTAGCTACTTCCAGGAGCAGCAATTACCACAGGGATAATTACTCCAGCCACAACAGTTTAGGCATTTTAGAACTCACTACTCAAAGAATGACATTGAAGCGTAAGAGAGAAATGAAAATTATGAAAAGCACAGTCCAGTCAAAAACCAAAAACAACACATCTGCAAGCAGTATAAGAAGTAACAACTACTCATGAACGTGTTGGGAGAGGAATGTGAAGGACAATGACTGAAAGAGAGAGAAGCAAAATGCAGGACAATGTAGCACTTTAAAGACTAACAAGATGGTTTATTAGATGATGAGCTTTCGTGGGCCAGACCCACTTCCTCAGATCAAATAGTGGAAGAAAGTAGTCACAACCATATATACCAAAGGATACAATTTAAAAAAAATGAACAAATATGAAAAGGACAAATCACGAGAGTGTAAGTGAGAGAGAAAATGAATGAATGACACACACACAGTGAGAGTGACAGAAATTTGCATTGCCAAGTTCCCTCCATCCCTTTCTTTCTGTGTACAGGAGTGGGGGTAGGACTGACCACCTGACATCAGCACCCCCCTTCTCCCTTCCACACACTGCACAGCAAGCGGGAGGCTCCTGGGAAAGGGGGGGGCAGCTCCAAGGCAGAGGTCAGGAGCAGCATGACAGTGGGTGGAAGGGCCAGTCAGAATCACCTGTCAGAGGCTCCAAGATCTACTGGTAGATCCCAATCTACTGGTTGATGGAAAGCATTAGGTGTGGAAAAACAAATGACTCAGACAAATGATACTATTTAAATATTCATCTTATGTTTAAAGCAAGAGACTGACTTAACGAAACTGAAGATTTAGAATTATAACTTTCTTTTCAATGCAAAACCATGTGAATAATGGAGATAATTAGACTTAATTTTGTATCTTCTGCCTCTCACCTATGAAAGTATGATCTTTAATGTTGTTTCAAAATAAGTTTTATCTATAAATTCCTTATTTAAAAAAACCCCCAAAATCTGTTCTAGCTTTTATACTGTAGCATTCAGATGACTGCATCATTCTTGCACATGAGGCCACCCTGCAAAGTACCCTAAATCTTTTTGCAGATGCCTATCACAGCCTGGGTCTCTGTCCCAACACTGGGAAAGAAATTGTTACTCACCTTGTGCAGTAACATCTGTTCTTCGAGATGTGTGTCCCCATGGGTGCTCCACTACAGGTGTCGGGCTCGTCCCGGCACCGCAAACCGGAAAGTTTTGCTAGCAGTAGCCCCCTCCGGAGGACCGCGCATGTGCAGAGCGTCCCACGGCGTTCGCGCCTTTTCTGCGTCGCGCGGTCCGACCCGCCAGTTCCTCCTAGCCGGAACATCTGAAAGAGACAAAAGAGAGCTCCGAAGCAGGGAGGAGGGCGGGTCGTGGAGCACCCACGGGGACACACATCTCGAAGAACAGATGTTACTGCACAAGGTGAGTAACAATTTCTTCTTCTTCGAGTGATGTCCCCGTGGGTGCTCCACTACAGGTGAGTATGAAGCAGTCATCTAACCGTTGGTCGTGCTTCGGAATTACTTGTGTACAGAAGAAAGAACTGCCTGAGCGACTGCTATGTCTGTCGCTTTGAGACGGTCAAGGGCATAATGTCGAGCAAACGTGGATGAAGACGACCATGTAGCCGCACGGCATATGTCCCGTAGCGGTACGTTCTTCATGCCTGAGCGACTGCTACATCCGCAGCTCTGAGACGGTCAAAGGCATAGTGTTGAGCAAATGTGGATGACGACGACCAGGTCACTGCACGGCATATGTCATATAAGGGGACGTTCTTCAGGAATGCTGTGGAGGCAGCCATGCTCCTGGTTGAGTATGCCATTGGTGGACAGAGTAGAGCTCTGCCTCTAAGGGTGTAGCAGCGAGAGATACAGTTAATGATATGGGACGATATATGTTGTGATGATAGCTGATAACCTTTAGAACGGGTCGCCACTGATAATAGCAATAGCGGGGACTTCCTGAAGGGACGTGTTCTGTCCAAGTAGAATGCCAGCGCCCTTCTGACGTCTAACATATGCAAGCGCGCTTCCTCAGGTGTAGCATGTGGTTTAGGGTAAAAGGTAGGAAAAACCATAGGCTCGTTGATGTGGAATGATGAATTAACTTTTGGCACGAAGGCGGGGTGACATCTCAGGGAGACACTGTGCTGAGTGAATATTGTGTAGGGAGGATCGGCAGAGAGTGCCGTGAGCTCGGAGACTCGTCGAGCCGAGGCGATCGCAAGGAGAAAGGTAACTTTAATTGTGAGGGTCTGTAATTCACAAGTTGCAAGTGGTTCAAATGGTGGCTAGGTAAGAGTGTCGAGGACGAGGGTAAGATCCCATGGTTGCGAGATAGGCCTACGCGGTGGGTAGAGATTCGAAATACCCTTGAGGAACTTCTTCGTAATTGGATGAGAGAAGACGGAAAAACCCTCTATTGGAGCGTGGATGCTGAAATTGCTGCCAAGTGTATTCTTAGGGAAGCAGCAGCCAAGCCTTGCGAATGCAAATGAAGTACATAGTCTAGGATGCACTGAATATGTGCTTTGAGGGGATCGATGGTCTGTGATTGACACCAAGCGAAGAAGCGACGCCACTTGTAGAGGTAAGATCTTTGAGTGCTGTGGCGTCTGCTCTGTACTAGTACGTCCCTGACTGCTTGGGAGCAGGTTAGCTCTAGGCCTTGGAGCCAGTTAGGAGCCAAGCTGTCAGGTGCAAACGGTCGATGTCTGGATGGAGAAGATTGCCGTTCTGCTGCGAGATCAGGTTGCTGATCCGTGGAAGTCGTTGAGGTGTGGATACCGACATCTGCATGAGTTGCGTGATCCATGTCTGGCGGGGCCAGAACGGGGCCATCAGGATTACTGTCGCTGATTCAGATAGTATCTTCTCTATTACTCGGGGTATCAGTGGAATTGGGGGAAAGGCATATAAGAGATGGTATGTTCCCCACCTGAGCAGGAAGGCATCCCCCATCGATTGGGTGCCTATGCCCGCTCTTGAGCAGTAAGCGCGACATTTCTTGTTGTCGCAAGTGGCAAAGAGGTCGATCTCTGGGTAGCCCCATAGCTGGAACAGATTGCGGGCTACGGAGTGAAGGAGTTCCCATTCGTGTTGGGAATGGAAGGATCTGCTGAGTGCATCCGCAATTGTATTGGTTTTGCCGGGGAGGTAGGAGGCTGTGAGTGTGACCTT